GGTGTTTTTATGTGCTACTATCTGGAATCTTTTAATAGTATTATGCTAATAGTTTCTAATTAATCTGAAATCTTCAACAAATTCTCTCCAGATGAAACTTTCAAGCAGATGAAGCCAGATGATGTTCACTGTCTATCTGTAATAACAAGTGAAAAACATTCTCTGGTTCTTAAGTTGCCTTGAAATGTCACTTTGGAGAAATAATTAATAGCCTATGTGAAGTCTCACTGTAAGCGTAGCAAAGGAGATACTTTTGTGATTAGTAATACTAACATGGAATTAAAATAGCAAGGAAAATCTGAATCTTTTCAAGGAAAGAAAAGTAGCTGCTTAGTCAAGAGGTAGCAGAAGGGGAAAACATTATTACAGCTAAGGATCAGCCTTTCTATCTCAGGGGCTAAGGATGGGATGAAGGCAACGTTATTGGGATGTGGGAGAAAGCAGAAGTGGGCAAGGTAATTTTGTGCAAGCGAGAAAAAAATCTTAGTCAACTAAACTGAATTGAGATTTGGCAATAAACACATAGTATAACTAACCATGGAAGCAAACTAGACAGAAACCTGTAGTAATGGATTAGTTCTGATCACGAGCTTAGAGTATCTAGGCTGCTTCTAAATAATGCCAGTGTGTGGACAAGCCCACATGAAGCCATTCTAGTGCTATTTGTTGAATAGCTTCTTGGGAAAATCATCCAAAATTTGGCTCTTCTCTGTAAGATCCTTTGACAGGAGACAGAACCAAGATATTTAAAATATCTAAATTTAAAATTTTCAGACGAATTAAAGAGTAAAATTTTCAGATGAATTAAACATGTAACCATGTTTCCCTCTGTCTAAATCTAAATGTATAGATTTATTGTCTACACTTATTAATCCTCTACTGTAATACGATGATGATGGCAAAAGAATTTCTTGATATAAATCTTACTTAAAAAAAGCAAAAAGCAGGTTAAGTTTGCTTCTAAATGCTATGCTTGTCTCGGTACTATTTGTTTCCTAAATTACTGCTTTAGTTTTAAAATTGTTATATTATGGTAGTAATGTCTTGTAAGCTGCCGGGAGAACTTGGATCTGAAGTTGGGATCCACATGTTTCTTTTAACAATAATTCTATTAAGATTTTTTTTAAAAAAAAACAACAATAAAAGATAATGCAAAGATTATACAAAAAAGTGTATAAAAGCAAAAGTGTAAACTCCCATTTAGAAAGTGATTTTCTCCGCTCATCATGCCAAGTGCATAATCTCTTCACCTCCTCTTAATTAACAACTATAAAACTCCTCATCCCATAACTCAACTCTAATAGTAAATCAAGTAAGTAATATCCTCTTGTCCAATTAGCAGCAAAAAGTCCAAACAGAGCTCTAAAATATTAACATTAATCAACATATATATACCTTAGCATTCTGTGTCTCAACTCTTAGCTGTAAGCAAAACTCCATTTAGAAGGCACAAAAAGATCCCGGATAACCCAATGTAAACAAACAAAACAAAGCTTTGCATAACCCCCCCCCCCCAGATAATTTCTCCTTTAAAAAAGACAAGCACCAAAATACATTTTCCCATACCAACAATTCCAAAGAAAATCACTCCAAACAGTAACATAACCCATTTAAATAAACATTCCATATCTCACTTCTGGGACACACCTTCTTTACAACAAGAGCTGAGGTCTTTTATTTCAATCATTTCATGTCGTCTCCGCTCCTGCTACCCCTCCTACAACTGCACTAAATGAGGCTGGATAATTGATTGGTATTGGGAGCTGCCCAGAGCTGGTTAGATTTGTGGCTATATTAATGATTTAAATAAATAAATAATGGTTTAGCTTTGGCCACCATTGGGCTCAGGATCAAGGGTCTGCTTTTCAGTCCTTAGGGAAGATTTCTTCAGGAAATTTTTATCACACATTAAAGAGATGTTGTTGTTGCTGCATGCAGCGATAAATTTCCCTGAGAAACAGATAAAAGCTGAACAAGAAAAAGAGTTTATTATCCAGATAAATCGAGGATTAAATAATATGGTACTAGGAAATAGAACCATAGCTTGCAGATGCTGTATTGTTTGACATGCTTGCTAATCTATATGAATTTGAAGGTTTCTGCTTAATAACAAATCTGTGATATTTCCATGTTTTAAGAGTGGGAATACTCAATACACCTGCAGATACACCCAAATATCAACCCAACTAGTTCTTTTGATGCTTGCCATGTTCTCTGACACCATTTATAATATGCATTATATTAAAGTAATTTATTTCAGATTCTACTACCACTGCTAAATAATAAGACAAGTTGTCATGCTGTAAGATATAGCATGAAAATCCAAGCTTCTCTTATCACCCAGATTTCCTAGAATATCTATGCCCCACCTGAGTTCTCAAATGCATTCTTAGACAATAAAAAAGATGGGTAGCTGCACTCTATTGCAATCTATTTCTTAGTGCCTATTTGGCCAGAAAAAAGAGACACATGATAGGATGGAGTATGAAGTATTTTCCTTCTTTATCACAGAAGAGTTTTATAAGAATAATCACAACAGTCTCCCAAATATACCTGCTAATCCTAAAGAATCGGAGTTTAGTAATTTATGGAAGGAAAAAAACAAATGTACATTTGCCAGAAAAACAAATAAATCCCCCACCTCATAATTTCAGTCCTTCCTTGTCTGTCTCTCCCTGAATATCTTGCAGAGATATTCCAGAGCCACAGAAGTATCTTTGACAGAGCGAATGCTGCTTAATTTTAATAGAGAATATAAATGCAATTTTGTTCAAGTTAAAAAGTTCAAACTCAGCGGTAATACTTTACAATAAACCTTATTAAATAAATAAATTGGTAATCATTTGAGGGGTTTGGATTGTAATATATATTTCCATCTGTGCAAAAAGACATATTATGCTAGAACAAATGCTTTTAGAGTAGAATAGAATGGGAACTATACAGGGGGATAGGTCTTGACTTATGATCACTTGTTTAGCAACTCAAAGTTATGATGGAACTAAAAAAACCCTGACTGGTACTTGCACTTACAACTGTTGCAGTGACTCTATCATGTGATCAAAATTCAGGTATGGTGTACCACGGTTATATGATCACCATCTGCAACTTACCCAATTTGCTTCCATTAAGCAAAGTCAATGGGGAGAGCTGGATTTACTTAACAATTATGTGATTCACTTAATGACTGCGATGATTCACTTAATGATCATGACAAACAAGATAATAAAGCTGCGTGTGACTCATTTATTGGCCACCTCACTTAGCAACAAAGGTTCTGGTCCCAATTATAGTCATAAGTCAAGGATTACCTGTAGTTTCGGAAACATACATATCAATTCAGAAATCATACTGTTCTCCTAAGAATTAATTCATTTCTGCATCACATTATAAGATTACTCAAAAAGTGTTCATGAACAAGTGGGCATAATCCATTACTATTATTTTAGAAAGGGTCAGTGGAAGAGTCTGAGTTTTTAATCTAAAATCACCTACTGAATTATGATAGAGCTAAGTTTTTATTTGGTTACTTCCTGGTTTCAATCATACATTCCTAGTCTTAAGTGACACCAACTCTTATCTTCTTACTGACTCCAACCATTATGCAACCTTTGCATTCAAGACAGATTAAATTTGCCTGCACCCTCTTTTGGAGGATGACTTGCTCAACAGTCCTATATTTGGCATTGCCTTCGTCATTTTTGTAGAGCTGAGATGCATCCAAAGAGATGAGAATGAAGAGGAGTTGAATATATCCTGAAAGATGAGAAAGATTCATGTGATAACCACAAAACAGAACTAATGAGTAACCAATAAATATGAAGAAAGAGCACAAGTAAAACAGAAATGAAAATATATTAGGATACATCATGTACAACTTCAGATAAAAGAGCACATCAAATTACAACTTCTTTCTGATAACTCACTATGATTAGCTAACCTTAACATTATCTTGACCAAGTGTTTGTAATTTGGCCAAGACAACTTCCATTGTAAATTGTGGACCTGATGTATTCTAACTGGATACAGTTGCATTTTTACCTACCTGAAACTCCATTCTTGCTTCTATTTCTCAAATAGCCTGATGGTGTTTTTTTCTGATTGGGTTGAAATGCAACAACACTGGCATCAACACACGAGCGGTAGTCCAAAAGTTGTGCAGTGCATTTTTATTACTTCTCACACACTTAACTGTAGTTATGACTTGGGAATAGCTCACGTATTCCTTTCCATCCTTCCTTTTCTTCTTTTCACCAGTATTTCTCTTTTTCCTTCTAGCATTTCCCAGGATCAGCTTTAGGTTGATATAATTAAGTAAGCTCTATATTCAGATATTGCTTTCAATTGTTAGTCAAACTTTGCCCTGAATCTGATGAAAACTTAAGTAACTATGGTTGGGAGGCTGAACAAGACTAGATCAACATGGATTCCCCTTGTTTCAGTAAGCACTTCTGGAACCAATAACCCTTATATCACCTGGAGCAATTTAAACACTGTTAGATTCATATGGGGGTGGGAAAAGCAGATTGTAAACAAAATTATATCCAAAGTGAGGCTTAATTGAGAGAAATAGAGTCATTCATGACCTCAAATTTCCAGAAAAGGTAAATGCAAAGACAGAAATGCACATGCATATTAGTGTATCGTGTTTATGTTTCTGGTATGCATTTGGAACCAGGACACAAGAAACTATAGCTCATCATAGTTCCATTGACTAGAGTTGGCAAGACACCAATATGTGCTATTTTCGGTTCAACAGTGCTCCAAGCATTAGCAGCAAGAAAGGAAAGGGGCACTTACACAGCGTATTGAAACAAATGGATTGCACAGCCAATTTATTGCCTTGGTTGGAATGCTCTCATTAGACTTCAGGTTCAGGCATGATACATTTGGAAAGCTGGCTCTTTTTAACATTAGTCTGGCCTTGGGGGCTGAGCATGCTGGCACGGGGGAAGCACAGGCAGCAAGGGATGGGAGGGGGCAGAAGTAGGGCAATTACTTACATTGACAACCCAGGTTGTGCCAGTTATATCCCCGCAGACACTTATCACACTTAGTCCCTGTTGTTCCCTGCTTACACTCACAAATTCCTTTTTCATTACAGCGATCATGGACTGAGCCCAAACGGTTACAATTACATTCTGCAGAAACAAGATAACATAACATAAACTCAGTGCCAGGGGTACATGGTCATAAGTAATGCATCACTGAAATGGGCAACAAGGTTCACTTTGTAAATATAATGCAGGTTTGAGGCCCTTATGGTCTTTTAGCTGATCCTGGGTTTCATCAGCTCCAAGCACCAAAGCTAATGGTCAGTTATGGCCAATGCTGAAATATAATGATTGGTATGATGTAGTTCAACAACAGCTGTAGGACTGTAGATCTCCATCAGCTATAGAAAACCATTTAAAGATGATGAAAAAGGAAAAAAAAATGCATGAAAACCCGCTTGTTAATCAGTTTGCAATATTTAACTAAAGGATATTTGTAAATGAGCCACAATATGAATTTAAGGTGGATTCCACCAATCACAGCACCACAAAATCACAGCCCTTCTTTCTTTCCTACAAAAGTGAAGGGATTAAGATTGAAAGAGAGGGGGGGAAAGAAAAGACCTGATTGCACTTTGACCTTAAATATGAATTCCTGTGGGTAAATGCTGGTAACTTAATAAATGATTTCCATGACGGAGTAAAAAGATGATGTAGAATTAAAACAAGGAATGAAGCTACTGCTGTCTTCAAACATAGTTACTATCCAATCTGATCTTCGTGTTTTTTAAGATTTGTTTTAATGAACATCAGGTAAGCTAGGCATTTCAAGAAACTTCAATAGATCATCAAGGAAAATACATCTTATTAAGATAGAGAAAGTAAGGTTCCCTCCTGTGTACATACTGTAGCATTGAATAGTTTCTGTACACAATGAAAAGATACTTTAAGCATTTCCAGAGTAGTCTTTCTTAATAGTCAGAAGGACTAATTTAATTTATCCACAGCATTTTACTGTTTAGAAATTACTGGTACTGAGTTTTGGGTATTATTATTATTATTATGGATCATCGCACAGTTAGCCAGATGTTCAGACTGGATTTGGCATTTTGTCTACCTATCAAGTCCTTACCCAGGACCTGGGATAGGCAGATGTGGATGTTTGATGGTATTACAGATATCGTTGCAAGATGGAAGCAGTTTCTAGTAAGGCCGCCTTTTGCAATTGACTAATGGCAAATTTGTCAATGCCAATGGTGTTCAAGTGGTGCTAAAGTTGTTTTGGGATTGCACCCAAGGCGCCTATTACTATTGGTACTACCCTTGCTTGCTTTTGCCACAGTCTTTCTATTTCTATTTGTAGGTTTTTGTATTTTGTTATCATCTCCAGTTCTTTCTCGTCTATTCTCCTGTCTCCAGGCACTGCCACGTCCACTATCCAGACTTTTTTGTCTTTCTTATCGACAATTGTTAAGTCCGGGGTGTTATGTTGCAGGTCTTTGTCTGTTTGAATTCTGAAGTCCCAGAGCAGTTTAATTTTATCATTTTCTATGACTTTCTCTATTTTATGATCCCACCAGTTCTTGCTTACAGGCAAATGATATTTCTTGCAGATCTTCCAATGCACCATTATTGCTACTTTGTTATGCCACTGCTTGTAGTCAGTCTGTGCGATTTTCTTGCAGCAGCTTACCAGGTGGTCCACTGTTTCTTCAGCTTCTTTGCATAGGCGGCACTTACTGTCTGTTGCTATCTTCTCAATTTTAATTTTATATGCATTTGTCCTTAAGGCTTGGTCTTGTGCAGCCAGAATTAGTCCCTCAATCTCTTTCTTCAATTGTCCTGAATCAAGTAAACCTTAAAGAAAGTTAAACAGTATGGCAGCGAAAATCCAGCATGGGGGAGAAAACCGTTTTTTTGAAATGGCGCTACCAAACAGGCAAGGTACAACAGATGTCAAGGTGTGGTAGGCCTGGCTAAGGGGCCCCTTTGGCATGGTAAGTGGTTGTGGGGTGCATGGGACAGTTCTCCCATCCCCACCTACCCCATGGCAGTGTCCCCCCTGCCTTGAACTGGTTATTAAATTATTTGAATCCCACTACTGGAAGCAGAGGGCTTGAGGAGAGAGTGGAATGTCTTTGCAGGATTGTGTGGTCAGCTGTAAGAGCGAATGATCAGGGGGATGCTGCAGTTGCCATAACTTTGAAACAGAGTCATATGTAGCCTTTCAGTGGCCTTTGTAACTTCAAATGGTTGCTATGTGACAGATTGTAAATGAGGTCTACGTATATATTACACTTTCATTTTTTCTCTAAACTAAAATGTCCAGGCATTTTGTAACTTTTCCTTGATAATTCTAGTTGCTTTCTTTCTAAAGTTTACCAGTTCCATAGTAAGTTATAGAACTATACAGTATTCCATGTGGGGCACACATGGATACATTTTTTTTTAAATTATAGTATTAGCAATAAAGCTAAAAAAGACCCTTTCAAAAGTAGCTTTTTAGGAGGGTGTTGGTCATTCCAATGGATACAACAAAAGTTTGCCTTAATATATTTTTTTCCTGTTTGATAATTGAGAAACCAGATTTGATTTATGGCTGTAAATTCCCAGTCCCTATTGTCAGTAACTGTACAACATTTATCAACTTGTACTGTTTTAATGCGGTTTGAAACAACAGAAGTATTTTTATTGCATCTTCCCTAGATCAGTTTCCTGTTTCATTTAATTCTTGTTATTGGTTTTTCTGGAATTTTTTTTTCTTTAAGAATTTGATTTTGATTACAAATACTCCTGTGTGGATGGAATTTATATTTCAGGGTAATAATAAGTTTGCCTATACTTATGAAGTAGTAAGATCCCAAAGTATTTCTTTTGAATCCATGATGCATGAAAAGCATTATTATTATTATTTTTTAAAAAAACATATTGCTCCATTTATGTTTGTTTACTGGAATTTGATTACAAATCAGCAAGAGGAGAAGAGGAAAAGCAGAAAGCTAAAAGGTGATAATTCTACACCGCAAATAGAAAAAAGTTTAAAGAGAATTCATTCTATGTAGCAAATATTACCTGTTGTGCAATTTTTCAGACTCTATGAATTACAAATGATATAGTTATGTGATTTGAGAGTCACTATAAATTCAGAATAACAATGTAGTACTGCCTCATTTAGATATCTGTCACTCTACATTACAATTATGGGGTAATTCTTTTTATATAATCTGAACCCCCAAGCCCAAAACTAAATGAAAAAGAAAGGTTTTGCTAGGTCTTTTCCAGCTGAAGTAATGCTGAACCATATAATTATGCTAAAAATGCTGATTGTCCCTCTGGTTTTTCTAGAAAGGATACAACCAGCCAATAATTTAAAACAAGCATTAATATTAGAACTGCTCTCTATTTTAGAAATATTGTTTATAATACTAAAATTACTCTTTCAACCATGGCTGGACATAATACTTGCTTTTCAAGTAAAACCATTTTTTTTCTAGCCAGTTTAGTCAGCTTGCAAGCACAACCTCTTACACACTGATGCTTCTTTCATGACTGTGGATGTACACAATGCACATCAAGTTCCTAGCACTACTTAGATAACAACCACAGGAACTGGATTTAAAGTTACAGTCCAATGCCATCTGCTTGGAAATATGAACAAAACGAATGTGTGCAAATACAACTAACATAGTGAAGGATGATCATCATAAACTAAAATTATAAAAATCTATATTTTAAAAATATTTCATTATTTATAGGACCATGTACATTTTATATTTTCATACACTCCAAGTAGTTCTTCAGTTTTTAATGAAGTTGCTTGTTTAGATGTCTGTAGACAACTGCACTGTGATGCTTTCATGTAATTTTGATCACGCACTGCTAAATACATGATAGCTGTTGTCACTGAAACTTACTAAAGGAATGTTGTAAATATTGGATTACAGATTATAATTTAAGCACGGCTATATCCAAAAGGCTCCTAAATTTCATTAAAGCACAGCTTTATTAATGTTTTGAGGTAATTTTGAAACCCAGTTCTAAAAATGCAACCAGTGGAATTGCTGAGAATGCTTCTCTCCCTGAACATTTCCCTTTTTCTTTTCTTTTGTTTGCTAAACTAAAGTAAAATGTTGTTTATTGCCTTGGATAATGTTTACTTTAGGAAGGATATGTGCTGATTGAAGCAAAGTCAGTATTCTCTTGACTCACAAGTGAGTTTAATCAGGTTCAACAGGATTTATTATCTACTAAGAATCTTGAGATTTCAGGATAGTACATCACAAATCTTTGGTATATACTCAGAAATGCTAAAGCGTAAAAGGAATAATTAATGTCATGATTGCTAAGTCTGTTTATTACAGGTAATCCTCAACTTACAACAATTCACTTAGTGACCGTTCAAAGTTACAACAGCCCTGAAAAAAGTGAGTTATGACCATTTTTCACACAACCGTTGCAGCATCCCCACGGTCACGTGATTAAAATTTATATGTTTGGCAACTGATTCATATTTATGACAGTTGCAGTGTCCTGGGGTTATACGATCACCTTTTGTGGTCTTCTGACAAGCAAAGCCAATGGGGAAGCCAGATTCATCTAACCACCATATCAATAACTTAACAACTTCAGTGATTCACTTAACAACTGTGGCAAGAAAGGTTGTAAAATGGGGCAATATTCACTTAACAAATGTCCCACTTAGCAACAGACATTTGGGGCTCAATTGTGGCCATAAGTCTAGGACTACCTGCAATAGCTTCTATTCTTGGTGTAAGCAGATCTATAGAGAAGGTGGGATTCAGCCCTTGCACAAAGGAGCTATAGGGGAAAGGAGGCAGAAATCAGAATACATCATCAGAAGTTGAATGGTTTGGATTAGATTTAAGTCAAATTGTTTCAAGTTCGGAAACAATTGCATCTTGTATTACCTTAAATACATTCTCTAATTGGTCCATTGCAATAGCATCTATTTAATACTAATTATTTTCAATTCTTATTTTTTATTTTTCCAAGACATCTCCTTAAAGCCATTTATACTATATGGGTGGAGTTTCCTCACTTTCAACATTATTGAACTTGAATACAATTAAATCTCACCTATTGGTAGATCAAGGTGCATTTTTTTTCCACTAGGAATTAGAAAGCCAATATGCCTCACCTGTATTAGCTGGTAATAAGTAGACGAGTCTTCTATTTGAGCTATGCATTGAGATGACCAGGTCAAGAAAAGTGGTTGTCATAGTTCTTAATAATTGTACAGAATCAATTAATTCAATGAGATACTTTTTTTAAAAAAGGTTACCTGGCCTCATTTCAAAAATTGTGGATAAAACATCCCATAATTCAGCACTATTTTCTATTTTTTATGAAAGTATCTGAAAATGTATCACATCTTGATTCCTCTCATCAATTTGTTTAATATGCAGATTACTGTGTTTTTATTGTAGAAAATACATTTTTAAAAGTGGCTACAATAATGAACCTTGCTGGAAGCAATAAAATGCACTGGAGTGATAGGTACAATTATAAGTCAAGCATGAAATGGTGTAATTAAAGTACATTCATAAATAATATTATACAAAAGTTTCTGATGTACAGTTGAAAAAAACATTGAATGGTTTTGAAGAGATCTTTTTAAAAAGATACCTTGCTATCTAAAATCAACAGAATGCTATATTTTTAATAATCTGTATCCTTTAAAAATGTCAATGTTTAACTTGGAAATATATCATTGATTCCTAGTCAGTGTTTGTGGATAAGTGGTGGTCTGTAGCTCAAGTGTTAATGCTTTATGGTAAGATTTCCATTACACTGCATTTAATTAACAGCATTTTATTTCAGGCTCCAAAGAAGTATGCACTATATTCCACTTATGTCTCCAGAATGCTGTCACATCAAGAAGTAATAATGATCACTGATAACTAATAATGATCACTGATTTAAATTCATGGCAGGATGGCAGTCCAGATGACCTTCTGATCCCGTAAGGTACGGTAGTCTAAGATCAGAAGGTAGAATGAAGATCAAAGATGTGACAAATTCCAAGTTGGATTTCTACATAGACAACTCTTTTGGGAGAGAAATTGTACATTGGATATGAAGTTCATCATATATGCTTGTAGAAATAATAATCATGATCTGATGGTGAATAGGAGAAAGGATTTTTACCTATCCTAAAATGGTCTGCATATAGAAGAAGACTCCGTTTCTACAATTAGGTGATCTCGATACTTTGAAATGCATCATACGTGAAATGGTTCTCTTTTGATGTTATTTCTCTTTGCATTGTGTGCCTATCTGTATTTGGCTGCATCAAAATGCTGTAACAGTTGAATTAATCAAAAATCTGCCTAGTGATGACTTTTATGTTTTGCTATTTCTTATTACTAAAAAGATTTTGCATTCTCTGTACTTGCTTGACAACCCTAAATTTAAGATGATCCTAATCAAAAGAAAAAGATAGCAGAAAAATAAACAGGAAAAAAAGTTCTACATTTGTTGTCTTATGATTGCCACCCCCTGCTGAAACCAATCTTGGAAATCTACCCTCTCCTATAAGATGCACATGTAGGATACACTTATATATGTTTGTATCTGCCAAAAGTCATACTCCCCACCCAAGGCAAAATGAATGATCATTAATTAAGAGCATTACTTGTAAAATTGGGAGCCCAATCTATAAAATTAATTGATTTCCCCATCTGAATACAGGAACCTTTCTCCTTCCCACACAAAACGCACACCTAGAAAAATTTATGTACTTCTCTTCCTAGGAGAAATGAATAACAAGATCATAAAGTTAAGGAGAAGCTGCACTAAGAATGGAAAGAAAGGAAGGGAGGAGGAATTGGATGAAAATGAAACATTTGAAAAATTTATTGAAAAGAGGAAAGTTAAATTCACCTGGTTAAATTCACCAGGAAGGCAGCTCTGCCTTCCAAAATATGGCTGATCTTCAAACTAATCTTTAAAGATATCTATATAATCTGCAGCCATTTTCACTTCTACCCATTCGCTAGCTTATCAACCGCTTCTTCTGTTTATCTCAGTGAACGAAGATGTTTTGTTTCCCCATTTACAGCTAATGATGTTTGGGGAGCAAGACTTCTTATTTGGGAACATATCTTCTTATTGAGTAAATAGGGTTTTTATTTCAATATGGCCTGATATTACATTGATTTTATGTTACTATGAAGCCATTTGACATGGTGCTCACAATTTGCAGCAATTAAATGAGTGTTATTACAAAAGATTAAATTATATGACTGTGCCGCAATGTGTGCATCATATATTTTAATACACAGAATCAAATCCTAAGAATATCAGAGATTCCCAAAATAGCAGGTTTCAATCTACTAATTTGAGCTTTGCCTTGGTGTTCAAAAAAACCAAATAGGATAGTTGAATTACCAGTAAAGATTTTTTTTTTAAAACAAACTGAAGAAATATCTACAATATTTAATCACGGCCATTCATAACCACATAAACTTCTTACTTAATCCAGCTATGCAATTCAGTTCTAAAATCAAACATATTTAATCACAGATCTTCACTGAAAAGGCTTATTCTGGCTTAGTTGGCAAAATTAAAAAGATGGAAACAGTTTTCTTAACTACTAATGGATTCCAAACGGCTAAAAACAGGCAGAGAACAAAATGCCAGAATTCGAACATAACTGACCTATGCATACATTTTCATCGTCCAGCTTTGCAGAAGCATTTCTGTAGAAGCCCAGCCTGCACAACTGACAGTGGTACCCTCTAGTGTTGTGTTTACAGCTCACACAAATGAATGTACTGAGCAGATCGATGTAACTGCAGCGGTTGGAGTGGCCGAAGCATTCACAGTCTTGCAAGGAAGAATAAAAATGTATACAAAAGGGTATTCTGTAGTAAACTCTCAGCAATTCACATGTTCTTCTTTTCTCAAAATAAAAAATCATGACACGTGAGCAGGTTATGAAGGAGCAGCAGGACAATACATTCATGTACATCATGGTAGCATACATGGACAATGATGGGCTATGAAGATGGCATCTCTTTTCAGGCAGGAGGAGAATGATGAGATAGCCGTGTCACAGCATTGGGGATAGCTTTGTCTAGTCATAGCTCTCATGGAGCTAAAGCATTTATGGTTGTAAGCCTTTTACTAGTTTTGTGTGCACAGATTCCAATAACACAAACTCTGGTGGTTTTGCCAGAAGTTGATACTTGTCTGAGATTTTCTCAGGTTACTTTTGCATTGCTTTGATGACAACTGCAATGCACTGTATTCCAGAAGGTAGCAACATGGTCATCTTCAAAGGTTTGCCCAAAGGCGCTTTTGGAAAAGAAAACTGGACTTTCTTTTTCTTGAATACATTATGCTTCTCATCCAAGGAGCTTTTTTCTGTCCTGCAGAAGAACCAAAAAAGCTTCTTAGAAGAGAAGTGAAACATCTTCAAACAAAACAAAAAAAGTCCAGTTGCCTTTTGAAAAAGCACCTTTGGGACAGCCATGACCTGGGTGACTGAGAATCTCCACAGATATTCTTCAAAGATTGGGTATATCATATTTATTATCCAGCAAAAGCACCAAACATGTTTAGGCCTAGCCTTTGACCAGATGGCAATCATCCAGTAATGTGTAATGTTGATTATGGTTCTATGTTGAAATGTACCTGCCTTTAAAGACTGTCTACACCAGGGTCTTCAAACCTGGCCCTTTTATGACTTGTGGACTTCAACTCCCAGAATTCCTTGGCCAACGTACCTGGCTGAGGAATTCTGGGAATTGAAGTCCACAAGTCATAAAAGGGCCAAGTTTGAAGATCTCTGGTCTAGACACATCAGTTCAAAATACAGCCAGGCACTTGCTAAGGAAGAGCAGGAATATGATTTTTATGGTGTCTGTCCTTAAATGCTCTTGATTCTTTTCTGGGCTCAGTTCAAAAGGGTATGAGCTAAGGAAGTACAAAATGTTCCATCATGGAATGGAACTGAAACAGACCACTCTGACTTTGTAAAGGGATTGTTTTCGATTAGAGCATTCTGTGAAGGAATATTTTATGACGATGTGAACTATGACTAGCTTAAGACCAAAATATCCAGATTGACTGACTATGTACTAATCTGCCTTTGGGGAGATTGCTTAAGAACTCTCCACCTTTCTTAGTTCTCTGGAAAGCAAAGCCAGGAGGGGGAGGGGGATGCTTTCAGACTTGCAAGAATCTGTTATTGCAACCTTACAATAAAGATACAGGTAGTCCTTCCTTGCTGACTGTTTTGCTTAGTGACTGTTTAAAATAATGTAAAAAAAAAAAAAAGAGATAGCTTTGTGACCAAACCTCGCATTTACATCATTGCAACAACCCACAATCACTATATGGGTGGTTTGCAACTGGCTTGCAACAATCACATTAATAAAGAATGCATAAGTAAAATGCGTAAGTCATGAACAGATGATGTTTGGCTTAATGGCCAAAAGGGAAGGGAGGCCGTAAGCCCCTCATGGTCACATGATTTTTTTCGCTGAGTGGCTGCAGTACTTGGTGACCCAGCTGTTGATTCCAATTGTGGTTGCTAAGCAAGGACTACCCATCGTATTAACACTTATACCTCAAAGGGCTGAAATACTCTTCCTCTCTCAGTCCAAACTAACTCACAGGGTTACTGTGGAGATCAACTGGGATTTACGCATGCCGCCTCTAGCTCCTAAATGAAAGGCAGGATAAAAACCTAACAAATAAATAATAAACAATTTTAATTTTGTTGGTTTGGTCTGAGGCTGCTTTTATCATTTTTTCCTTAAAACATTATTTTAAAGGTTATCTATGGTATATAATTTCAGGTTTTATGCTAGAATGCTTAAGGTGATCAAGGTGATATGATTACTTTTATTTCCACCTTCATGTCCAATGCCTCTCATCCCATGTTTATCCTGGCTGTTCTCACCAAAATTCTCATAATGAATCAGAATGAATGGAATTAAAGTTACATCCACTGAAAAAGAAGGAAGTGGATGTCTAATGTCCATGCAATACTTGTTACCGCAGCTGTAAAGTTTATCCTGTAGTATATTCACTATTATAAAAATAAAAACCCAATAAATAAACTGATTTCATTGGAGTTGCAATACATTACACTACACACCGCACTAAATACATAGCAAGTTATATCCTAGAAATCAGAATAAGTGCGTGGAGGCCAGGTGAGAGATGGGCTCTATATGACTTTCATAAATAAACATGAATTGAGAACACTGCACAGTTAAGAAAAATCTCATTTCATACCAACAGAGTTTTTTTTTTTTAAAAAAAGGTATCTTGGCCCAATACCTGTGGATATGAAATTTATAAAACAGAAAGAAAGAAAATAATGGCTTTAATGTGCTGGCTTTGATACCTTTTGTGCCATATCATATAAAAAACCATGTTATAGTAGTGGGCAGAGCAGCACAGCCTTGAGGGACAAGGAGAATAAAGTTCAGATAAAAGAAAGCTAAGTCCAAAGCTGAAAAGTAAATGAAAATGTCTCAGATAAAATCCTCCTTCATTCTCATGCAGATAAAGTAGTTACAGTAAAAGAAGTTCTGAGCTATGGCATTGTGTGTTTATGTGTGTGTTTTTAATTTAGCCTATCTTGAAGTGAGAACATAAGATACCCGAAAGCAGATTTTTCTACAACCTTTCAAAGTAATGGTCATCACATTTTGCCAATAGAATACTGTACTCGGATCCTTATTTATAATTTTGTAGAAGACTAAAGAAATGTAGCTTGATCACAGATGCTCAGGAAATTCGTAATTCAAAATCGGTACCATCATGGGATCTATTTCTCACACTATTTCAAGAAGGTTCGGATCAAAAAGGAGTCACCTGGGTTTAGAAGAGATTACTCAGCTGTAAATGCACAGTCCAAAATATTGTAAACTACCAGGAGACACCTCTTCTGCCTGGTAAAATTTTGGTTGTATTTTTCTCTAACTTTCTAGATATTGTTGAATTATGTGTCCAAAGAGATAATTAGAGTTACTGACTTACATTTTAAATAATTAGATGAAACTTACATTTTTGTCACCCATTTGTATCTGTAATTTATCAATGAAGAATGAAACGTTCACACATTTCATTTATCTTATGGATGTTTCATATTTATTGCATGCAATATGTGTCACAGATCATCTGTATGGAAGGAAATATATCAACTTAATCATCAGCAGCTTAGCATATTCCCCCCTTAATGTCTTGAAAATGATCCATTCACAATTCTAACCAGCAAGTTGTTATATTTATTTAATGGGGAAATAAGACACCCAAGGCCATCCATATATCTAATATTAGTCCGGAGCTACTTAGTTTTCACCAGTTAATAATTGAAGCATTTTAAGTAAGAGTCATACTCCCCATTCTACTTTATAGTTATGGATTTGATCAATCATATCACTCTTCTAATGACAGCAGAGCCCCAGTGAACAGTTTCTGAAATGACAGCCGATTTCTATTGCCTTTGAACTAATGCAGAATATACAGGAAGAAACTGAAGAGTTCTTCGTGACAGACTATTGTTTTACCTGTAGAAATTTAGCAGAGAGGGTCAATCATCTCAATTTCAGATGTTGAGACTATGACATATAAGGCCCAATTAAGTGCCTCTGCCTTTGAATCTGCAAAGTTACTTAGCAAATGATAATGCTCAGTGTCTCTTGGCAATGGGTACAATTGACTTTTGAAGTACAAAGCCAATACAGATACGAATGAATGACAGCAGTGCTTGCCTGATGTTCTTCCCGCTACAAACTGGTGGAATTTGTTTCACTCTTACTTTTAATACAACGCCACCATGGGTTTGGCTAAGTTATTTCCATTGACCGCCCAGCCCAACTTTTCATAACTGAGCAGAATTATGAACAGAACCATATAAATAGATTTCCCACTATCCTGATACGAGAAATAGAAACTTATGGTTAATTTTCCACCGGGATTGTGTAACATAGAAAAAACAGGTGCGTTCCAGTTGCAGCTGCGCTCTACAATGGCAATTATTCAGCTACACAGAATTGTAGCAGAGTGTGTGTGTGTGTGGGGGGGGGAAATGATGTAGGAACCTGGAAGCTCCCGACTGCTCTGCTTCTCTGGGCTGCCAAGGCACTGGCATCTACGATAGTTCCTGTCAGCTTTTCCTCACCCTCCTCTGAGCAAATTCTAACCAAGTATGGGCGGCAAGAGGAGAATAAACAATTACTCTGGCCACTGTGTGGAACATTTTATCTTATGAGTGTTGAATGGCTTCAAGAGTCATGTCTTCCTCTAAATCATTTTTTTTGGGGGGGGCGGAAGACATAGGAGTCATTGAAATATTTTGCAAACGTAAATCCTTGACTTACAACCATCAAGTAGAGAACCAACCTAGAACAAAGGAGAAATTCTCCGACAGTTAGAACAATTAATCAGTGTAACAACTTGCCTCCAGAATTTGTGGCTTCTACAACGCTGGAGGTTCTTAAGAAGAGATTGGATGAGCGTTTATTTATTTATTTATTTATGAGACTTATATACCGCTTTAAGTGCAAGCACTCTCTAAGCGGTGTACACCAGTAAGCAATGTATATATATATTTACATTGCCCCCAACAATCTGGGTCCTCATTTTACCTCGGGAGGATGGAAGGCTGAGTCAACCTTGAGCTGGTGAGATTTGAACCGCTGACCTGCTGAACACAGTCAGCTAAAGTGGCCTGCAGTACTACACTCTAACTGCTGCGCCACCTTGGCTCGAGGTGTCTGAAATGGTATAGGATCTCCTACTTGAGCAGAGGGTTGGACTAGATGACCTCCAAGGTCATCTCCAACTCTGTCATTCTGTTAAATAATGCAACATTGGGATTTTTTTTTAAAAAAAAATAATGTGACATTTAGCAACCATTTGAAGTTACAACAGTTACGACCAATTTTTACACTTACACCTGTGATAGCATCCTCACAGTCATGTGATCAAAATTTGGGTGCTCGGCAACTGGCACATATTTATAAGAGTTGCACTCTCCCAGGGACAGCTGGTCACTATTTTTAACCTCCCCAGCCAACTTCCAAAAAGCAAAGTCAATGGGGGAAGGCAGATTTGCTTAATGACTGCATGATTCACTTAACTGCAGTGATGCATTTAACAACTGTGGCTAAAAGGCTGTAAAATGGAACACAACTCACTTAACAAATTGCTTGCTTAGCAACCCAAATGTTGAGCTCAGTTATGGTCATAAATCAAGGACTACCTGTAGTATGACAATAAACTGGTCTCATGTGTGCAAGGAGTCCTCACCCAGATGTAAGAAGTGACTTGTAGGCATTAGTATTTATGACCAAATTCCCATTTAGGAAAATAGAGCATGACAGACACATGCACAGAATGGAGCACAAGCCAATTACTATATATGCTTCTGATTTGCATGAACAGACAATGATTTCAAGCCATTCCAGTTAAAAAAAAAGTAGCTGAAAAAGAAAGAACAATTTTATTTAATTTTACTATGATAAACAAGTTCTTGCGGAAAGTCTATAGAGCAACCAAAATATATATTTCCGGGCATTTATCACCTCCCTTTCATGCCCACAATATCCACAGACTTTCCAAACTAAATAATAAATTCATATAAGATTTTGGCATTTGTGAAGAAAGTCTCACAATGACTTGGGATGGAATCACTGAAATTTTGTTAAGATCTCAGATGTCTTAGATGAGGAATCATGTGAGGTTATACTATTGTTCCTGTTGGTGCACTGCTGCTGCTACTACAGCAAGCAAGCAAGAAATTCATTTCTTTCTCTGCACAGCTCTATGAAATCTGTTGTTTTGCAATAAGGAAAGCAGCCTTGATGTAGATTAATGGCAGGATACAATTGTTAATTTCCATGAGCAGAATGATGGGAAAGTCTGGTTCTTTTCATTTATTTGGAACAGACTTTGAGGTGGGTGAAGGCTGCAAAGAGGAGGAGAGACCCATTGTGAAACTGGAACTCCTCCTGAATACTAGTGGATTCTACTCTACATGGACAACTTGGGTAGACAATTGTAGTATCTCTTCTAGTTTGCATTCTAAATACAGAATTGAGAGTATGTAGCTATGAAGATAATCAGGATGTATTATATACATGAAACAATACAGTATGTTGAAGGATACCTAACTATACATCTTATATATTCTTTTTTGTACCAACATCGTATGTGAAAAATGCAAATTACATGCTGGCTCCTTCATGAAAACTATTATTATTATTATTATTAAATTATAGACAATCCTCGATCTGCAGCTACAATTCAGCCCAAAGTTTCCGTTGTTAAGACAGTTGTTAAGTGAGTTTTGCCCCACTTAAGATCTTTCTTGCCACAGTTGTTAAATGAATCACTACAGTTAATTAAATTAGTAACAGTGGCCAAGTCAATTTGGCTTCCCTGTTGACTTTGTTTGTCAGAAGGTCACAAAAGATGATCACATGACCACGGGATACTGCAACTGTCATAAATATGAGTCAGTTGCCAAGCATCCAAATTTTGATCATGTGACCATGGGGAGGCTGCAATGGTTCTAAGTGTGAAAAATGGTCATAGGTCACTTTTTTCAATGCCATTGTAACTTCAAACAGACACAAACAGACCAGGATCACTGGTATTCCTTTTAACTTGAGAGAACCCCTAGGTGTGTATCAAAGTGACTCTCATTCCCATCAAATGTCATTCAAATAAACCTTCAGCCTAACAGAGCCATGTTCGTTCTTGGAACATTGGAACATTTCTTTGTCTGATGCCCAATAAGAAAATACAGTCAAGGTGATGTTATTTTTTTTATTTCTGTCCTTAATCCAATTTTGTAATGGGACAGATTTTTATTACCCCCTGCATTTCCTTCTAATTTCTCCCACACCCATAGATTCTGCATTTTCTTACAAAGTAACTACTTTTATGTCGTTCTGGAATGATTCACATTAAGCCCACACTAAATCCTGTTGATCAAATTCTAAAGCCATATTGCAAACCATTCCTATTGCTTTGCCAACCAACAACAATCTGTTCCATAATTTTAAATCAGGAGGTAATTAAAACATAGTCTTCAAAAGAAAATGAGGTGGTAATAAATTTCACCATATTGCTTTAAGCGACTCTAAAATAACAAAACCGATCCATGAATAAAAGTGACCATCAGATCGAAGGACACAACTGCAGGTATAAGAACAACATGAATAATGAATAAGTTGGGCAGGAAAATGGCAGAGAAAATATAATTGTAAATAAATCATTAAAATATTGCAGCCACTTGGATTATATCTATATCTATCAAAAAAACCACAACCCTGTTTAGTTTTCAGGAAAAAAAAAAACCTCATTTCTGTCCTCTTTTTAGGTAGTTGAATTAATGTAAACACATTTATATTTCAATAACAAAACCATATCTCTGCTAAGTTAGTTAAAAAAGAATTTTTTAGATTAAAAGCAGCAAACAAGGGAAAGAAAACATGACAATGTAACAATGCAGGGTTTTTCAGTTACAGAAACTGAAATGCAAGACACCTCCGTAAGCTTCATTAGCTTCCTTAGTTCACGTAGACATTCCTGCGCCACTCAGCCCTGCCTAAGAAATTCTTATTCCATCTCCTGAATTATAAGAAAATATTTGATGCGAAGTATTTATATCAAAGGATTTTGTCTTCAAGCATTTTGGTGCTGGAAATCTGAGTAGGATCTGAACTTCTAATTCTAGTAGAGGTATTAATAATGCATTGCTTATTCAAGGAGAATTAGCAACATTGATTTCTGAGGATGGATAGATGGATGGATGATAGACAGATAGATAGATGATAGATAGATAGATAGATAGATAGACAGACAGACAGATAGACAGACAGACAGACAGTCAGACAGATAGTTGAAATATGCCAAATGGCAGGTCTTTTCTCCATTGATTTCCTCATGATATCCTCATTTGGATTTCACTGGGAAAAAAATCTTTGCCATTTTCTCTAGGAGTGTCAGCACTTTGTCCTTTGCTATGGATCAGATTATTTTATTTCGCAAGGCAGTTGTGTTTGTTCTTCCTAATTATACTGCAATTAAGGAAAAGCTTCTTTACACCATTCTCCCCCTAGCATCTCCATCACTTGCTTTCTTTCCCTGTGCATTACAAAGGAAGAAACAAATTTGATTTTCATTATCAACTTAGAAATTTTGCATTAGACCTAACTTGCTGCAGTTCCGTTAACAGCCATTCTGATTCATTATCTATCCCCTAAGGTCATTTTTTTTTCTTAATCAATCTGAAAGCTGCAGCTCTCATGCCATAACTAATGATTTATTGCCAACAATAGCATAACTTATATAAAACTGCAATCTTTCACCAACATGCTTATAAATATAAAATACTGAAGTTAAAAAAAAAGCAGAAATATTTCCAGTCTATGAATGACAGATGCTCATTTGGGGAAGGTTGTCTGGGAGCTGTCAAGGCAACTGTGCTGTGCTTTCAAAATGTCAATATGATGCCATTATTTTGATAAAACATTGAAATCATATCACTGCATGAAATATCCAAAATGCACATGATCCAGCAAGAAGTTCAACGCTACTGTTAGTGCCTCAAGAAAGAAATAAAGAAAAAAGAAAAGAAAACAAAGAAAGTTGCTCAGAGCATCGGAGAAATATCAGCAGAAAACCCATGTGCTGCAAGTGCCATTTCACACATTTATCAAAGGAGGAAGCTGCCTATTAAATAACCTGCTTATTTCATTGGATATGTTACAGCAGTGTAACATGGTGTTTTTTAATAGATTGTAAGTCATTTGTGCAAATAGGATATAATTCCCAATATAATGCTAAGTCCTAATGTGGCTCTTTTTTCAGTCTATTTTCCTCTCTTTTTGAGTTTCCTTCCTATTATTTTTTATTTTTCATCTCCATCTAGGTGACTAGCAACAAGACAGATGATTTTTGCCAAAGCTCTGAAATGAAATTAAGGCAAGACCTACCCAAAGCCCCAGAGCTGCAAGTTCTCTGTGGCCGGTTCAAAATTATACATGGAATCAAGTGTCTTGTGATGCACTTAACTGCCCTTTTCTGGAAAATAATTCTTCATTTATTTTATGAAATTAAGGAAATTAAAGAAAATGTTTTTTTTAACCAGTGTCAAGCTCAATGACAAGCTAGCTGAAGAATAAAACTCCTTGTTGCATCATGCACTGGTAGCTTTGCTGTAAGAATTGTAGTGGGCACATTGCAAACCAAACCACCAAAATCACCAAAATGTTTTTCCCTCTCAAATGCTGTATCAATAGGATTTGATGCTTCATAAGATACATCTGCTGATTTATTTTAAATTGGATTCAACTGAAAAATTCCTTCTTCCATTGCTTAGTGCATGATTCCCTCTTTTAGTAACCTTGTGTTAACACATACAATGCTCTTTTAACTAGAGCATTTTGCTGTTCTTCCACATTTATAGGATACAATGGTTGTCACAATATAGGAAATGCTAATATACAAATGCAGGAATTTCTGCCTCTTTTGGGGATTGCAACTTGGACTGAAAAAACAGCAAACACAGCTAAATTTGGAATAACTGAAAGCAGGTATTTAGAGGGTTATGCCCTAGAGCAGACATGTCAAACAAAAGGCCTGTGAAGTGGTTTCATGTGGCCCACGAAGTAGTTTCATGTGGGCCGCGAAGTCATCCTGGAAACAGTGAGGGAATGGCCCCCACTACCTTGACCCTGGCCCAGGCCAGCCGGGAACCAATGTACAATTTTGTGGTGGCCATCTTGACACTTGCCTCGGTGGACCATGCCTTGGCACTTGCCCTGGTCCCACCCGCTTCTGCCAGAGACCCTCATATCTGTCCCACTCATGCCCAGGCCCCCACAGGCACCCTTGACGCGAATGATGTAGAACTGGCCACGCCCACCCAGTAGACCACACCCACTCTGGCCACACCTACCCAGCCCCCCAAGGGCAACAGCAATGCTGAGGCGGCCCTCAGTGAAATTGAGTTTGACACCGCTGCCCTAGAGCAAATCATGTTTGATTGATTATTTTATAGGGAGATTAATTTGATGCACCCATGTTTGGGTCTTTTGTGTTTATATTGTTATATTGTACAATACATATGTGTGTATGAGTGTGTGCATTGCATACTTGTATGTTTTGTCTTTATGCTAGGTGCAAATTTTAATTCATATGGAAAGATAGATATTGGGTATAATTCTCTGCATGAATTGGAATTCTGCTTTGCTAGAAATCTAGTACATTGGAAGAAGAGGTGTACTTACAGATATGAACATAGTATTTCTCCAGAGGTCTAGTACATTTTGTCAAGACAGGAGACAATTGGTTTATATTTCAAAGACCAGAAAGCAGCCCAGTTTCCTATCTGTATTAATGTTATCCACCCAAGTGGAAAGGGAGAAAAACATGATGGTTTTCTCCCTTTCCTTATATACTGTAGTTATGGGAAGAACTTTTTCAGAATTTGCAGTATCTTTTTTCCCCCTTAATTTTTAAATCACTGCCATGTAATCGCTTAGATGTAGATGTGATTTTCTTACTAAGGTTTTGTTCTTTAAAATTAAATGAAATTCCATTTTTCCTGATGGATCTCTACTTATTTACCTTACAACTACCACTAAACCATTTTTCAGTAAGTACAACTGTGATGAATATAAGCATTCACAGAGAATGTATTCCATTTCAACTAACAACTCATTTATTGAATTATCATTTTACAATCTAACCTGAACAATATGACTCAGTTGCTTGGCTGATGCCCGAGTTCTTTTGCTACAAAAAAAAAGCTTAATTGCTCAAGAGCTATAGCATTTTCAAATAATAGTTTGAGATTCTTTACAATCATTTATGATACAACACATGGGTTTTGCGAAAGGTTATTTCTCTCATTATTGCCAATGGCCAATTTTCATAAATTGAACAATAAACAATGCAATCTAGAATTCAATACTAATTTTGCTGGTTAGCTGTAGGACTAATATTTGTTATTGCAGAATCAGGCCGGAGATAGCTAATTTCAATAATTAGCAGAAGATTAAAAATGTGTCTGATTTTTAAATATTTAAGCATTGCAGGAATAAAAATACTCTGAAATGATGAAAGCTTGTGATAATTGGGAATAATTTTTGTGGGCTCCAATAACATTAACACGGATTTGTTCTACACTAGCCTTTGGTTGGTATATTTTGTAGTTCTGTAAAATGAAAGCAGAACATAGTAACATGGAAGCAAAGTAGATTGAATCTAATTTATCCAGTATGGCACTGCAGTTGTCAGTGCTGCCATCCTGCTTTGCCTCATCACTACTTCACTGATACCAGACTGCTATAAAATATCTCTCTCTCTCTCTCTCTCTCTCTCTCTCTCTGTGTGTGTGTGTGTGTGTGTTTGTGAAGGAAGCTAGCAAGTAGGGAGAGAGAACAATGAAACTGAAACCACTTTGAGTGCCTGCAGAGACATCAGCTAACTGACCCCAAGGTCACAATCATGGAATGGAACCAGAGCCTGTCAAACCTCAGTACCAAAACAATTTGTTGGATACAAGGAGATAGAAAATATTAAAAGAGCAGAAAAATATATTTCCTCAAAGGAGCTTAAAAATGCAGGAAAGCATGCCTAGTTTTTCTTAATAGCCCCAGATCTCCCTTCTCCAAGCAGAAACCAGCTCTATAGAGATGCAGATGTAAATCCAGGGAGCTAGGGGATTAAGAAGACCAAAGACCTAAAATCTACATACCCCATCCAAACTCTTAAGAGTCATCAGCCCCAGGGAGGCAGGATATGACCTTTGGACATAATAAGATTGACCCATTATCATCAGAATACCAGAAAGGCACACTCAGACTCAGATCAAAGTTCATGCCACAGCAACAGCTCCAAATAAAAGGGTCCAGAGGGTATAAAAACCCACTTCCTACATGTGCTCAGTCCTTTTTTTCACTTTTCTTGCTGCCAGAACCATCTTCCTGTCTGGCTCTCCTCTCCAATAAACTACAACTTTCTTCCCAAAGCAGTTACCATGTTTATTCTCAGCTTGGATGAACCATGATGAAGACTTTTCTTCCAACAGTGTTCAACCCTCAGACCTGGCTTTTTCTGTCTTGCAACCACTTGGCTTTGGCAAAAGTATCCCTTTCCCTACAAATGCAGTCATAGGCTTTCTTTCTAAATGACTAGGTTAGGGCAAACTCAACAGAAGTTCTCCAAGAGGCATGGAAAGAAATGGTGAAATATAATATAGAACCCATGAGTAAAACAATTCTAGCTGCTAGTAATTTATGCATCTAGCACAGTCTTAGTTTCTTTCCTATGATCAAGGACTAAGACAGCAGTTTTTCTAATCTAGCTCTCCAATAAATTGCTAATACGCTTTGTTTAGCTTAGAAACTATTTCCTGGATCTTCTTATGCTCATTTCTTCCTCCATCTGTATTCATTAGAGTTTAAAAGGAACATCCTGTGTATAACGATGGCAAGCTGTAGACCAACACCATTTGTTTTAAGAAACATAATAATTCCATGGGAAGTACTGAACAGACTTCCACCTGACTGAATGTATTTTCTGTGCAAAAGCTCTACAGAAACCAACTTTAAAATGCTGACATTTCTTGCTACTTCTTTTATTCTTCTCTCACCCTGGTCTCTCTCTTAAACCCACATCATTTTTCCTCCTGAAATAATCATCACACCAGTCTGCCAGTAAATTATTTACGTGTGAATGTTGCTGGAATTCAGAAGTGGAACTGATGCACACTAGGGATTCCGGAGAGAACAGTTACTGAAATTGTTGGAATGTGACGCTTTCAGCATGTTCACACACACACACACATACACATACATAGGAAGTAACTGACAATGTGACCTAACCTTGTGTGGAAAAAAATAAAGGCTTGAAAGAAAAAGAAGAGCTTCCCCTTTTTTTGAAAATGCTGCATTGTTCAAATAAATTTCCTGAGAATATGGTTTTGCTTTAACTACCACAAGTTGGTCTCATTCCAATTTCATCTCTGAATTATCAACTGAAATAACATTCATTTCAATTAAGCAAACAAAGCAGAAAAGAGAGACATTAAAATGATCTGATGGAGACAAAGAGAATCTCTGGCAATCAAGAAGTCTCAAAACTTACTTTTCATGCAAACCCTGCTATCTATATAATTCCCCTCTTCTTAGGGATAACCATATTCAATTTAAGCTATAAAAAGTGCTTATAACTTTGATGAGGAAGATCTGTACACATTATAAAAAGTCTTTTCATGTAAGATTCATTTTTATGAGCATAATAATCCCCAGTAGGTTGTTTTCGACAGTATATTTTCTTCTCAGTCGCATAAAAGGATTTTTTTTCCCCCTGGGTCACTGATTCTATGAAAAGCAGTTAAAGTCATAATAGACCAGTAGGAATTTTACCTTGATTTGGGTTAGAAACCCCAAGGGAAGATATATTCGGCCATATCTTATCATACTTTGGAGGAGCTGCATGTATTGGGGGGAAAAATTAGGATTTGTTATTTACAATATGCGATAGATTTTTTAAAATTTAGCTTTGTATCTAAGCACATGGGTATGGAGAACAACACAGAGCACAGACATCTATCACTGGACTTTGTCAATGAAACATTAGGACAATATACATCACTGCCACATTGAACAAACAGAAGCAATTGATGATTCCCAAAACATTGAATGTACATTTAAAAATTTTGTGTACTCATATGATAATGTTTTATCTTTTATAATTTAACAGATACAATTTAATGTAGTGGATGTTTATTATCTGGCTCTTTCTAAATCAGCGGCTTCTACAGAGTAGGAAAGATTGCCTACTTCTTTAGCAGTATAATGGATAAGGATGGCAAGTGGGAGTTTCAGCTGTTTGTTTGATTATTTGTTTAGATTTTTCCCTCTGGAGAATTTCCTGTTCTAGGCATCAAATAGTACTATTAGTCAATAACCTTATTCTTGATGTTCAGGAATTACATACTAAGATTCCTCATTAAATCAAGCAGACAAAATCTCAGCCTAAATCTAAAAATAAAAAGAATGATTTGGGCCAATATTGACAACACTGATGTTTATGTACCAAAACAACAAATTGGAATAATTATATTTGAACTCTTAGAATACATTGCATTTTGAACCATTGAACTTTGCATTCCTAAAATGCAAAGTGGAATTTAACCACACATTCCTTGGACACTCTATCTGATTTACAAGTAATCAAGTTTCAATTTCTTCTTTCCATCTCACTGCATCTTGTTACCTATCTGGGAAACTTTCTTGAACTACAGGATGGTTCACACATGCATGTGCATCACAGTGTTGACTGATGATTATCAAGTTTTTTATGATTCCTAGTGATCAGATTTATAGATTTTCTCCATTGTAATCTATTCCTAATCTGGTCTTTTTACACTGTACTTCTACAGTGTACCTTTAAGTGCAATGTACACTTAGAATCAGCAATGGAATGAGTGAACCACGAATGAGATGTGAAATGAAAGTTTTCTCTGGTGCATATAGTTTTGATGCTCAATTTATGCACTGATGTTACATCTGAAGCCAATGAAACCAGTTATGAAAAAAAACAAAAACAAATTAGTGACTGCTTGTATAGACTTCTATGGTATCTACACCATGCTACTACTCTGCATAAGTTTGCTTCTTGTGAGGAGAATCTGTGGTATCCATAATTCTATTTAAACCAATAACTCTGAATATAAGACTATTAAACTTTATTTTTTTTTCACAGAAGTTGAAGAATAATACAGAATGTTAGAGTCGGAACAATTCACTAAAGTCACCTAATCAATTGTTTAGTTTTTTTAAGACTTGGCATGTTTAAAGAAAACAACGAAGTATGCTGCCATGTCAAACCATTTATTTTCTATAAACAAATTCTCTGCTTCTCTCACAAATACTAAAAATATACATAGAAAGCTGTGGGTTTGGGTATGTAATACTTATGAGGAAATCAGCTAGTGTCACATAGTGAAAAGTATTTTGCAATTTCCAAAAAGCTATCTGTGTTTGTGCATGCGCTATACAATAATTTTTATTATAATGGAACCAAATTTGATTCTGTTTCATATTTCATATGAAATATCTATAGCTATTTTTTAAAAAAATGGATAGCATGTAACACTTTTCTATAACAGAAAACATCCACTTTTTGTGAGGTTAAAATTGTTTGAATCCTCATTTAATACGCTTTTTAATGTTGTATTACTAAATATTCTGATCATTCTGACTTGTTTTATCTTGATTTCCTATTATCATATCAGTCTGATTTTACTTCTTTAACCACAGCTAAGTACTCTTCTATAACTTCTATACTCTTCTATAGTACAGTATGCCGTGGTATCTCTTTTAACTCTTCTTAGATATTTTAGAACAATTATTTTTTCTTTTTAATCCTAATTAATTGTAATTTTCTTGTTTTACTTACAGGTGTACGAACGAATAAAAACGGATAAAAATGAATCCTTCTTGTAATCTCATACACTGTTCCTCACCTAAAGCACTATGACGTAGTTTAATAGAATGACTTGACACCTCAATTAATTGCGTGTTTTTTCTGTTGGGTAAGTGAGTAATTTGGTTACATATTTTTGTTATGGATGCTAAATTGTCATTCATTTTATTCTACCTATTTAAAGCAACAGATTACAGTATCCAGATAAGCTTAATAATTTAAAGTCTAGCCAAAACAGACAAATTTGGGTCAGTATTTATTATTATTATTATGGATCATCGCACAGTCAGCCAGATGTTCAGACTGAATTTGGCATTTTGTCTACCTTATTATTATTATTATTATTATTATTATTATTATTATTATTATTATTATTATTATTATTATTATATAATCTGTTGCTAAATTAGGCAAAGTTTATGTAAATTCCTATCTCTCCAAACATTTCCCAGGAAAGAAATTATTTCAGTTTCTGTTTTTCCCTTGACATGTTGCTTGCCACTACTAGATTTGTAATCTGCTTAGAATATGCCCAAGTTAACTGTCCTGCTAAATAATGATCTAGAGCAAGGCTTTTCAACCTTTTCATCCATTGTACCACTTTTAGGATATGGCAACATCCGAGTACCACCAGTCGCCTAGCAAGGTGTCAAACACCTGACCCAAAAAAAAAAAAGGAAAAAAGTGATAAAGTACAGGTAGTCCTCGACTTACAACAGTTCACTTAGTGACTGTTCAAAGTTACAATGGCACTGAAAAAGTGCCCCCCCAAACCACAGCCGAGCAAGATACCTGCCTGCCCACCCGGCGGCGCTCTTCCTTCTCTCTGAGGTTTTCATTGTTCTGAGCATTTCTGTTGAGAATTAGCAGCGGGGGTGGGGTGGGGGGTGTTTGGTTTTTATTCCCCCTGTCTGCTGGGTGGTTGCAGCAGGTTTTGGTCACTTCACATGACCCTGGGACACTGTGACCGTCATAAATATGAATCAGTTGCCAAGCATCTGAATGTAAATCACAAGACCCTGGAGATGCTGCTACATTTCAACTGACCGGCGCTTCTTCTGGGCTCAGGAGCGCCAGGATCAGCGCTGAGCTCCAGTTGGAGCCTGGCGCTGATCCTGGCACTTCCACTGAGCCCTGACAGCCCTGCAGCTCCAGCCATCTCTCACTCAGTCTTGTGTGCTGCTGCCACTGGTTCAGCTCATTCCCCTCCCCCACTACCACTTTTCTAGGATGGTCATGTACCACCTGCCAGGTGCCAATGTACCACAGTGATCTAGAGAATGGCATGCAATAGAAGACTGTTCTCTGATTAACATTAAGGCTTACATAGGCATCATCTGTTCACCTGAGTTCCATTTTTTTTAACCCAATAGTTAGTTAGGGGAAGTCATTTTGAGTATGTATGTGGCTATGGAATGTTGTTGTTGTTTTTTTCGTAAAAAAAAAAATCCTTTTAAAGTAAGTATATCTTTATTTCAACAAAGTAAAACTTGTTCCCAAGTAAAAGTTATCTGGCATTAGTTCAGTAGAGGCAAATACTATTTTCGTCCAGTAGTCACAGTAAGATTAAAATGAAAATCTTAACACATTTTAATTAATCTTTTTTTATGAAGTGGGCAAATAATTGGCTGTGTTCCATTTGTGCTGTAAGTGCCTGTCCATTTAGTTGTAGAATATGGTATGTGTATAGGAGAAAGAGAAGTAATGTTTAGGACCTAAGCAACTGAATTACTAATGCACATGCATATGTAATCTCACCATTCATAAATCCATTATGTCCATTTTAATGTATTCAGTGGCAATAGTACAGTTAGATCACTAATTCTAAAGTACAAGATTTGAAAGCCGTGATAGGAAAGTGTCTTCTGGGAACTGTGTTAAGCTAATAGATGCTGCTTAAATCAATAGGACTTACTTTCTACTATACTAGGTGTGTGCTAGATTTGTGATTAAACAAATTTAGTTGTTCTGGAAATTTTAGAGTCAGGTTAAATGCATAATTAACACATACATTAGGATCTTATTTTTTTTAACCCCAAAGAATAATGGCTGCCCATCTACAAGCATATTTGGGAAGAGCTAATTATCTAAATCTATTATTGCCTGGCTTTAGATTTGGATATAATCCAGAAACAGTTCTTCTTGGGATGAGACATGGAAAATGCTAGTATGTCGCTTCTCCAAACAATCCAAGTCAAGGAATATTGCTGGAATAGAACAGGGGTTTGGGAATTGGAAGCACAGAATTTGTGTAAATTAATTCTTACTGGCAGGTCCATCATCAGAAATCAGCAATAGGAGATTTCTGTTTGGCTCCAGGGAGCTTGTATTGTGATATTCCAAAGGATTCTATTCTTTCCTCCCTGCAGTTCAGTATCTACATCAAGTCAATAGAACCCTGATTATGCTATCTTTTCTACCCGAATCAGGGAATGTTGCCTGACAAAAGTGATGGGCTAGGTAAGAAAAGGAATCTGAAACTGAAACGAAATAACATGGTAATGTTGTGGAATAAGGTTGCATTCTCTCCAAAGGAATAGATCCCTACAAGGACCAGGTGGTTGCAGTAGCAAGGAAGACATGGGCCCAACTCATACTGCTAAATTAAAACCCTACCTGGGTTCAGGATAATACCAATGAACATTGTCTCATAATTTCTTGACTGTATATAGTACTATAGTGTAATTTATGTCTGCCATTAGTACAGATGCACAATTGTTAAGTGAGATGGCAAAATGTAACGCCAGTCCTGAAAGCTGTGCACAGGTTGTCAGTGAACTATTAGAGTCAATTGACGTGTTGTCATAAGTTTGCAAAACTTTAACATGCATATATTTTAAATATTGGTTTCCTAAATGTCAGTCGATCTGTGCATTAGAACCAAGACCCGGCTCTTACCCCCAAGCGTTGGACTAAGATGGGGATTAAGCTGCAAGGATGATTGTTCTGGCAGCTGGGGAGAAGGTACTTTTGTTTTTAACTTTGTCTTTCATGGATTGTA